TCTTCCAGCTTCTGGAGGCTCCAGGCGCTCCTGGGCTGGCGGCTGCATCTCTCCGAGCTCTGCCTCCATCTTCACACAGCCTTCTCCTCCTTCTTGATTTGTCTCTCCTCTATCCATTATAAGGACCCTCGTCACTGGATTTAGAGTCCATATCAGCGTTTTTCCCCAAATAAAGTCACGTTCATAGGTTCTGGCGTTAGGACGTGGACATATCTTTTGGTGGGCCACCTTTCAAACCACTACAGACCCCAAAGACTAAATCATCAAGGGTGAACAAGAATTAAACCCTCTCCCCCAGTTCCTGGAATTGCAAGCGTCAAATAAAAACAAAGGGGGCCGGGGGGGAGTAACTAGTCAATGGGCACGGGGTTTTATTCTGGAGTCATGGAAATGTTTTGGAACTAGATGTGGTGGTTGTACATTGTGGATGCACTAAATGCCACTGGACTGTTCACTTTAAAATGATTAATTTTATATTATGTGAATTTCATCTCAACGGAAAAAACTTCAGATTTGGTAAGGAGAGACTTTATTCCAAAGGATCATTGCAAGGAAGAACTATTGCAGTGGGGGGAACACTATTGCAGTGGGGAGAACCATAAGATTTGCAAGCTACACAAGGGTTAGGCAAAAGTCTTTCTTTTATGAGGAGGAGCAAACAAGGCTAGAAAGAATGAGATGTGGGGACGCGGGATGAAAAGGTAGCTTGACAGGACAGCAGACGGGAGAAAGGTTTACCCTGAGGCCAGCCCGTTCAGGGGTTGTATCCGGGCTCAGGCTGAGGACGGACCAGAGTTCCCGAGTGTGGGGTGAAGAGGGAAACTTAACCTAGGTTTGGTTAAGAAGCATATTGTTAACAACGGGACGAAACAGTTCAGCTAATCACTTATGCATCCCCAAACCGGGAATTTGGAGGGTTCTGCGGTCTTGTCTCAGGTAAACAAGCGGTTCATTCGTGGGTCTTATCTAAGCTCCACCGGGCATGACGCCTCTTTGCAGGAAGCCATTTCCGGAATGCAAACGTGGGCGGGATTTCATCGCTGTTGTCCAGACGCACACGACTCGGGTGAATTTCAGCATTGTCGTAAGTACAGATGCTTTATGGCTGAGTGGACAAGAAAAATCTGCTCCTGGGAAGCTGTAAGGACTGGTCAGGGTTCAGGTGGAATTTCAGCCCCAATTCACAGCACTTGGATGGCCCAAAGTCTCAGGACTTGAATTTACGTGGAGATAAATACTAACACAGCAGTGCTTGTGCTTTTTTTTTTTGTCTCAGGACCCCTTTACACTCTTAAATATCAGAGACCCCAAAGAACTTTTGTTTGCATGGGTTATATCTATCAATATTCAGTTTTAGCAATTAAAATTGCAACACTTTTAAGTCACAAGAATACACAAACACGTATTCTGTTAGCTGTCAGAGTGATGATGTCATCACACATCACATAACCTCTGGAAAACTCCAGAGAGAGAGGGAGGGGGAGAGAGAGGAGCAAATAATACCTTAGTATTATTATGAAAATAGTTTTAACCTTGCAAATCACCTGAAAGGGTCTTGGGTTCCCTGAGGCCCACAGGCAACACTGAGAACTGCTGGTCTAGAAGCCCCTGCATTGCTGACCATTGCTGACCCTTCGTTTTATCTTAATGACCATACTCCCTAAAGTCCATTTTCCCCTTCTTCCTTTTCATAATAGAACCACCTAAGTTCTGACTGAGAAAATGGCCGCCCATGTAGAGACTACATTTCCCAGGCTCCCTTGCAGCTAGGCGTGACCATGAGCCTAAGGACTACATTTCCCAGGCTCCCTTGCAGCTAGGCGTGGCCATGTGACTAAATTCTAGCCAAAGGAAAGGCCAGAAAAGATGTCAAAAACTCCCAACTTATGTCTTTAAAAGGAGGCTGCCTGCTCTCCAGTATCTCTTTCCCCTTTGCTGCTTGCTGTAACAAAGTCACAGCGATTGTGACTCGGCTTCAACCATCCAGAGGGTGACACCTTAGGAGAATGGTTCCCAAAGTGTGGTCCCCAGACCAGCAGCAGCAGCATCACCTGGAAATTTGTGAAAAATACATAGTTCTCAGGCCCTATCCAAGTCCTGCTGAATCAGGAACTCTGCGGCATGGGGCCCAGCAATCTGAGTCTCAAAAAACCCTCCAGTGGATTCTGACAGATGCTCAAGTTTGAAGACCACTGAGCCAGGAGATGCAGAGCAACAAGATAGAAGGAACCTGGGCCTATGAATGAACTCAGGCGGCAGGGCCATGCTACTCCCTGCTCCACCTACCAGCTTGGATATTTACATGAGAAAATCAATCTTCTATCTTATTTAAGCCACCGTTATTTGGTCTTTGGCAAATGAAATCATTATCTTAATCAACAATATCTTTAGATACATCCCTTCTTTTTTGAATTAAAGATTTTAGGCATACACCTCACACCCATCAGGACAGCTTCTACAAACAAACAAAAACAATAAATAATAAGTGTTGGCAAGGATGTGGAGAAATTGGAACGCTTGTGCACTGTTGGTGGAAATGTAAAATGGTGCAGCACTGTGCAAGTTTGACGTTTCCTCAAAAGATTGAAAAGAGAATTATCAGGGCCGGCCCCATGGCTTAGCAGTTAGATGCGCGCGCTCCGCTGCTGGCGGCCTGGGTTCGGATCCCGGGCGCGCACCAATGCACCTCTTCTCTGGCCATGCTGAGGCCGCGTCCCACATACAGCAGCTGGAAGGATGTGTAGCTGTGACATGCAACTATCTACTGGGGCTTTGGGGGAAAGACAAATAAAATAAAATTATTTAAAAAAAAGAGAATTATCATATGATCCAGCAATTCCACTACCGGGTGAACCTTGAGGACCTAGAATAGTAACCTCATGTAAGTGGAGTTGTACACTAATGTCTTCTTGTGACCGGCTTCTTTCACTTAGCATAATGTCCTCAAGGTTCACCCATGTTGTGGCATGTGTCAGAATTTCCTTCCTTTTTAAGGCTGAATCATATTCCATTGTATGTCTATACCCAGACTCCCTTGCAACTAGAATACCCATGTGACATAGCTCTAGACAACAAGATCTAAGCAGAAATCTACCCAAGTCTGCCAGGAAAATTCTGACCTCCTACTTTGAACTCAGATACAATGCCTGGAGCTATGGCCTCCATCTTTGGCCATGACGGAAAGGCCAAGAGAATCAGAGAGACCTTGGCAACAACAGCCCTGAGCCTCTGAACAATGCCTACAGCTCCCTCCCTCTAGATTTATGTGAAAAAAATTAACCTTTTATGCATACACCACTGATGGTCATCTGTTGTTACCTGCAGCCAGAGGCATTTATAACTGACACACTTGGTCAAGTTACATCATCTCTGTCTCCCCAGACAGAACATAGGTTCCACAGTGGCAGAAAACATGACTTTGTTCACCACTGTGCGCAGCCCTTCCCCTGCCAGCCAGTGCCCTGCAGAGACCACACAGATGGAATGCGTGGTTGAGGTTCTTCATTCAAAATCTAAGAACAATACCTTCCTCTTGCATTAACTTAGATAATGCATGTGAAGTGCTTAAAATAGTGCTTGGCACATAGTAAGCCCTTGTGGGGGGTCAGAATTGGCCACCCCAAAGTGTGTCTCTTTGGCTTGATTATTTTCAATAACAAAAGACTCTGACAGAAACTTTGGCCTTCCCCCTAACTGCCTAAAAGAATTTAAGATAGAAGGCCTGTTCCAGGAAGGAGCTAACATCATAAGATAACTATAGCATAATATAAACTAGGTGTGGTAGACAAGGAGGAACCTAGCAAGGGCCTTTTATTCAAAATCTTCTCCACCTCTCATCATCTCTACAAGGCATGGTCAAGATTCGTTTACCAAACATTTGCTTTTCCATCTCCACGTGAATTGCCTTCCTCCCCTTTGAAGTCCCAAAACACTACCCCCAACATCCTCCTTTGTCTTTAGCTGAAGATGGTATTTAAGGTGGTGGCTTCCACCATTTTGGCGAGTCACTCAGTCTTCCTGGGTTTCAACCATGTATACATGTTACTAAACTTTGATTTTACCCTGTTATTCTGTCTCATGTCAACTGAATTCTCAGACCAGCCAGGACCTAGAGGGCAAAGGAACAGTTCTTCCTCCCCTACACCCTCAACAAGCAGATGTAGTGAACATCTCCACCATGGCTACCAGGCCATCTCCCCTCACTTCCTGACTTCCCCTGGGAGGCCCTCATCAGACAGCTGGCTCCTCCCACATCTCTTGTGGTAGCCGCCCAGCCCCTTCTGTTTCGGTGTCATCCTTTTTTGGTGTGTGTGACAAGGGAGCTGGCACCTCTGACTATCTTTTATCTCGCTGTCTATGTAAGTAATTAACCGTCTGAATCTAAAAGTGGCTACACCAGGGGGCTGGCCCCCTTAACTAGAAGTATTTTTTTTTTTTAAGATTTTATTTATTTTCCCCCCAAAGCCCCAGTAGATAGTTGTATATCATAGCTGCACATCCTTCTAGTTGCTGTATGTGGGACACGGCCTCAGCATGGCCGGAGAAGCGGTGCGTCGGTGCGCACCCGGGATCCGAACCCAGGCCGCCAGCAGCGGAGCACGCGCACTTAACCGCTAAGCCACGGGGCGGCCCTAGAAGTATTATCTGTTGTGTCTCCTATCATCATTATTGTCTTTGGCCTAAGATTGCCCTCTCCCCAACTTCTCCCCTCACAGACAAGACTCACAGGCCAGAGGAAATTCTTCATTTTATTTCCGCTCACAACCCCCCAAAGGATCAGTCCCCGCCCTCGCTCACCTAGAGGCAACCCCTCCCCCAACACCTGCACAAAACACTGATTTCCTCCCAGAGCTAAAATGAACACCCGGTCACCACTATGGCCATCCCCCGCCCTGCCCGCCTCCCCATCTGCCTGCACATCCACCTGCTCTGTGAACTTGGCTACCTTTTGGCTCCCTGCCCAAATGGAGCTCCCGAAAGTCACCTGGCTTGGCATTTTGATTACATGGGTGCCATTCTTCAAACCCTCCCTGACTTGCGTCCCCAGATGGCTCTCCTGGCCTCATTCTGCATAGCTTCCTGGCCGCACGTCCCTGTTTGAGAGACCAGGTTCCCAAGCTCTGCCTTGCTCCCCGAATTCCCTGTGGGCCTCAGCCCCTCGGCCGTTACTTGAGGAGCACAGATGTTGACTAATGCCAAACATCCATGATTCTGGGGAGGGAGGAGGGGAGCAAACTCAGAAATGGATGAGCAGAGACGAGGATAAAAGCAGAGAGAGAGGGAGAGAGAGGGAGATCTGGAATGAAGGTGGAGGCAGGGGGATGCCGAGGGACTCTCCCACCTCAGCTCCAGAAACAGAAGTGACCCAAGCTAAAGACCAGCGCCCCCTACCGCCCAAAGCCCCTGCCCGGCTAGCTGCTGCGGGTCCTCTGGCTTCGAGCCTTGTACACTTCGATGAGCAGATCCTTGACGTACTGGATCTCCCGCTCCACTGACTCCGCCCTCTCCCTCAGCTCCCGGTTCCGAGCCTCCAGCCCCTGGCACTCGCCCTCCAGGGCCTCGCCCTCTGCCCGCTTCCTCTGGCGGTACCTCAGAGCTGCCGACTTGTTCTGGTCTCTCTTCTTTTGCTTGCGGTCCCCTCGGATGGTGGCAGGATTGGGGTAGGGGGCCGGGCGAGAGGGCTGAGGTGGAGGAGGAGGGGGCTGCTGTGGGGGAGGCAAGTGGGCCAAACCCGAGTCCCCATGTCCGGCCTCACTGCGGCAGCAGATGGCCAGCAAGTCAAGGGTATCCAGGGCAGGGGGCTGGGGGAAGTCAAAGGTGGGGAGGTGGAGGGGGAGGGAGGGCGCTGGTGCTGGTGGTGGTGGTGGGGAGGATGGCGGGAGGAGTGGGGCATCAAGGAAGAAGTCTTCCATCTGCTCCAGCTCCTTCTTGAGGAGGGAGGCCATGGCTTCCAGGTCAGGTGGGGGTGGGGAAGGTGGGGGGAGGGCACCTGGGGGCAAGGGGGGCTCCAGAGGGAGAAGGGCTGTAAAGTCAACCCGCTCAGTCATCCAGTCAGAGAAGCCGTCACCTGGAGGAGTGGAGGGGGACATAAAGGTCCTTGAGTTCCTGGTCCTCCACCCAACTGGGTGCTCACTCATGTCAGCCTCATTCATCCCATTCACTGAGTAAACCCACCAACTAGCCAATCAGTCAACCAACCAATCAATGAATCATCAAACCAGTCAACAAACCAGCCAACCAACCAACCAATAAACCAGTCAAACATCTAACTAACCAATTAACCGAGTCAACCAATCAACCAACCAACCAACCAACCAACTAAATGAATCAGTCAACCAACCAATCAACCTTTTAACCAATCAATCAGTGAACCAGTCAACCACCCAATGACCCAAACAACAAAACAATTAGCCATTACTTCAACCATTCCAACATCCTCTTTATCCACTCTACACCTGTGGTTTGTCTGATTTACTCTCTAGTTTATTCTTAAAAGGCAAACTAGATTGCACATACACAACACACCCTGTTTCCTCTTTAACTCATTAAGTATTGAAAACCCACTATGTACCAAGCATGTCGGACACATTAATGAATAAAATAATTCCTTCCTCAGGGCCTCTGCATATGCTGTTCCCTCCTCCTGAAAAGCTATTCCCTTGGGTCTTTTCATGGCTCATTCCCTCCCATGCTTTAGGCCTCAGCCAAAACGCTACCTACTTGGAGAGGGTTTCCTGGCTACACACTATAAACTAGGTCCCCGTTGTCATTTTTCAGCTCAATGACTGTTTCCCACTTATCCCACATTATCATTGAATATGTCTCATCTGTCTCCTCACTAGAGTGTGAACTCCAGGAGACAGTGATCGTGTCAGTCTTGTTCCCATCTGTATCCCCAGCACCTGACATGTTATAGGTGCTCAATAAATATTGATGGCTTGAATGAATAAATGAATGAAGGAATTCTTCCTCCTTCCCCCTGCCCCCCATACCCCAATTCACCCCACCTCCATTCTTTGCCTGCCCTTACCTGCCAGGGGCTCTCCCCCCCCTGGAAGCCCGCCCTCCAGGGCTCCCCCAAGGACCTCATAGGGGCCCAGGGGGGCAGGGGCCAGGGGGAGTTTCCCATAGTCTACGAGCCAGCCCAGCCCGCTAGCTGGGAGCAGGGCCCTGTCCAGCTCCAGCCCCAGGGTCGCCAGGAGTGACATGGCTGCGGAACAGGCGCTGGGCGCGGATGGCAACGAAGGAGGCTGCACCGGCAGCTGGCAGGGGGCTCTGGAGGTTGCTCAGCTGGGCGAAGACAGGCACCAAGGCGGAAGTGGAGGACCTACATGTGGGAGGCAAAAGCGACTGGGGTCAGAAGCCAGCCTCACCCACTATGGAAGTCACAGGGAAACCAAGCCACACCCCCACCTCCCTGGGGTCCTCCCCCCTCCCCCCTCCTGCTTCCAACTGGGTTTGGGACGAGCCTAGCTCTCAGAATTCTAAATCTGCTCTTTCTTTCCCCAAATCTCTGAGGCCCACCCACTCCCAAGGGAATTCGCTTTAGGATCGACTTACTTTTCTTTAGAATTCCCAAGCCCAGATCCTTCCAATACAGAAACCTACAGGTCTCCCCGGGGAATTTCCTTAACTCCTCCCACCCACCTCATAATATTCCCCTTCGTAAAAAAACTCAATTCCAGGGGAATTTTCTTCCAGCCGCACCCCTCCCTCTAAAATATTTCCTTTAGGCCCCATCGCCTCCCTCGATTCCATCTCAAATCAGCTCCCAGGGGAATTTCCCCCTGCCCCGCCCCTTCATCCATGTGATCCACTCAAATCCCACTCTGCCCTTTTAACTTTGCGGTGACCTCCCCCGACCCTCTAAGTCCTGCCCCTCACTGTTTATCTTAGCCCCACCCCTCCCCGATGATTCCCCCGAGGCCCCACCTCTTTCTCGGGTCGAAACCCCGCCCCTCAGCAAACGGTTCGCTGAGCCCCGCCCCTCTCACAATGGGTTCCCTCAAGCCCCACTCCTCCCGATGGCTGTGATCCTAGCTCCACCCCCTTTTTAACAGGTTGCCTCTAAGTCCCGCCTTCTACCCTGTCAATCTACACCAGCCCTCGCCCCAACAGATGCCCGATGAAAGAGAGAGAAGCTATGCAGTGCGCCTGAGCAATGTGGAGCCGGGACGCAGGTCGTGGGAGCCGGGAGGCCGAGGAGGAACAGCTCTCCTCGCCACCACCCTTCCACTCCCGGCTCTCTAACCCAGGGCCAAAGTACATGCTTCGTCCTCCTGGGGATCACTGCGCATGTGCGGCTGCTTACTGCCCGCCCTTCGGACGCAAATACGGACTCTGGTGGGCTGCTGCGCATGAGCAACCGCGAGAGGGCAGAATCGTCCTGGGGGGTAGTGCGCAGGCGCAACCTCACGCGGGCCGTCTTTAAACTCCAACACTAGCTGGAAGAACGCACCCTCCCCCTCCTCGAACCGAGTGCGCATGCTCCGCCTCGCGTCGACGGCCCGTTTTCCCTCTTCTGCGCCTGCGCGACCGTGATTCCTCGCTCTCGTCTCGCCATCCCCCAGGCCGCGTTGTGAGGGCCGCGAGCTTCCAAAGGGCGGGAAAGGCGGTTGGAGAGGGAGGGGCGAGCGTTACTCACTCCATGGCTGCAGAAAGGAGAGGCGGCGGCGGCCTCGGCTGAAGAAAGAAGGCGGGAGCGGAGAGCGCAAGCGCGGTGAGCGCGGAGATGGGCCGTGAGGCACGGAGGGGTGGCGGCTACAGAGCCATGGCCGGGGCTACGCGGGCGGAGGCGGCGTCGGGGTAGCGTGAGGAGAGATCGTGATCTGAGGACGGGGACTGAGGCGGCGCCGGGGACTGGGGACAGATATACCGGGGGCGGCGCAGCACGGCCCGCTCGGATCCCTCCGCGCCCCGCCCCCGCGCGGCCCCAACCGGGGGGCGGGCCTGGCCCCCCCTCGGGATCCCGGGATCTGGCCCTCTCCTCCTTCCGACCCCGGGATCCGGCCCTTCTCCTTCCTCTGATCCGGGGATCCAGCCCCCTCTTCCTCCCGACCCCGGGCGTTCCGGCCTTCCCTTCCCCCCGACGTGGGGGTCCAGCCCCCTCCTCCCTGCGATTCCGGGAATTCGGCCCCCCCTCTTCCCCGAGACCCGCGTCGGTTCATTTCTTGTTTCCCTGCTTCGGTTCACGAATTTCCGGCCAGCCGCATGCTCGTCTCCTCATCCCCCAACTGCCGTCCCCCAACCCTTTTTGTGGTTCGAGGCTGGCGTGAGTCATAGACCGGCCAGGGTGGCCTTGGGCACATAACTTAAGTTCTCTGGCCTCATAGATGGGGAACTGTCCGAAAAATGAGGTAGGGTTGTTTGTGCGAATGAAATAAGCGGAGAGCCGTGGAACCCAGGGCCCGGCTCCTGCAGGCCTGTTCGGTGTGTTTTATTATTAATACGAATTCTGGGGCTCGGTCTGACGCCTTGCTCCCCTCCTGCCAAGAGCCCCAGACTCCTGACCATCCGACACCTGCTAATAGGTCATTCTTTAGCAGTGTCGCCTTTACTCCTCAGTGTCCAGCCGTCCCCACCCTCCTCCACGCCAGATGATGGGAGGTCAGCCCCCGCTCGGTGCAGGGAATTCAGGCATCGTCGCCCTCGCTCTTTTCTCCATCCCGTGGCCACCTCCCCTCAGCGCTTATCCTCAGCACTTCTTTCGAGACACTTGCTTCATTCTTCTGCCCCTGCCCCTCACCCTGACTTCCTTTCAAAGAGTCCCCCGCCTCTGCTGCGCCCCACTGGATCCGTGTTCCAGCCCTGCCAAAAATGGGGAGACCTACACTTGCATTTGCTGAAAGAGGAGAGCTTCCTCGCCATCCCCTCCCTGTGCGCTGGGCCCTCCACCAGCCCAAGTGGATGCGGGTCTTTCCTCTGCTGCAGAAACCCCTCCCTTTGCCACCCTGCCTCTGTCCACATCAGGATGTGACACCTGGAGTTCAGCCTTCATCACTTTTGTGTTGGTTATGAAACTGAATCAAGATCCAGAGAAGGTGGGGGAACCCCGATCTTGAGAGTTATCTGGGAATGAACATACGCAGGCTTCTGTTGCGTGCAGCAAGTCCTTCTTGGGATCTGACCACTTTCCCTTAGACACTTATCGTCCACGCTGCTGGTATTTGAGCACTGGCGCTATAGGGGCTGCGTTATACCTAGGCGGTATAGAGGAGCAGTTAAGAGCACACTCTGGAACCAGGTTATTGCGTTCCATCCCTGACTGCACCGCACTTAGTAGCTCACTGGCAATGTCCCTTATTTCCCTGTGCCTCAGTTTCCATTAATAATACGAGAATGGAGTGTGGAGTTTGGTTAATAGAAACGTACCAATGTACGTGGCCATTATTATATTGTACCTATTTCTTAGTACTGTTAACAAGGATTAAATAAGTTAACCCAGGTCAAGCGTTTAGACTAGTGCCTGGCACACAGTAGGTGCTACCTAAGGGGGTATTATTACTATTATTATTAGTGAGGTGTGTATGTTTTATCTCCGTTGCTAAGCAGTAAGTTCTTTAAAAAGTCTTCCACCTTTTAAGTGAGACTTAGGGGCTGACTTTCTGCTTCTCAGTATAGATGTTGAGTAACAGCAGGTGAGAGTAGGGTAGGTTCTTGGACAGACTGCTGGCAGTGAGGAGACCCAGTCATCACCCAGAGTCTTCTCCTTCTGGAAAGACCTAGGTTATACACGTGGACTAGGTAAAGTATTTTTCTTTAAATCAACTTTTTATTTTGGAGTAATTTTAGATTTACAGAAAAGTTGCAAAGATAGTGGAGTTGCCATATACCCCTCACGCAGTTCCCCCGTTGTTGACACCTTAGATTACTTGGTTCATTTGTCACAACTAAGGAACAAACATCATACATTTCTATTAACTAAACTCCACACTCTGTTCTGCTTTCACTAGTTGCGCCCTAATGCCCTCTTTTTATTCCGGGGTCCGTCCACGATGCCATATTACATTTAGTCATCTGTCTTCTTACCGTCCTCTGGGCTGCGGCAGGTTCTCAGATTTCCTCTGTCTTTCATGACCTTGACGGTTTTGAAGAGTGCTGGTTGGGTATTCTATGGAATGTCCCCCAATTTGGTTTTGTCTCATAGACTGGGGTTATGGGTTTTTGAGAGGATGGCTAGGTAGGATATTTTTTAATAACTGGAAATGAGTGTTCAGTGTATGCTGACTGAGAAGACACTAGGGCAGGGACCCTGGTCCCCTGTCCCAGTCCCTTGTGCCTTTTTCTCTCTATAGGTGTTGGATCCCACCTAGTTCAGCCCTGGTGCCAACTGCCCCAGTCAAGCACTTGACTCAGTCCTGCTGAGAGGGTGCCAGTTCGCACACTTAGCTCCCTAGCTCTTCCCAGCATGTTCTAATTTATGGGCGGTAGGTCATCAGTGGCTGTCTGTGAGCCCAGGTCTCAGCACCCTGAGCCCTGTCCTGTGCCCACCCCTGACCCAGACCCGCAGTCCCCCTGGGACTCGGGTGCCTCAGCCTCCTGCTTCACAAAGTCTTCCAGGGTCCAGGGGCCCCAGCCCCTTCAGCTCCTGAGCTGGAGCTAGGAGCGTGGGTGGGGCTGCTGGGGACTCTTTTTCAGTGCGGAGGAGCCCGGCTCGGGGAGTGAGGTGGCCCTTGCAGGCAGGTTGCATCACCCTGGCTCCTTACTGGGGAGAGGGAGTGGGGGGATTCTCTGGGGGGCCCCAGCACACCTGGCAATGGTTCCTGGTTAGCAGAGCACTAGAGCCCTGGATCTGGGAGAGGTCCCAGCACAGCAAGGGAGGGGCAGAGGAGGGGGAGGGAGAGCAGCCACCTGTGCAGGACCCTGGGAATCTGAGACACATGCCCAGGAGAGGCCTGAGATTATAGGCGCCAACCCACTTGTCTTGCAGGGGGCAAGACAGAGGCCCCAAGAGGTGGAAGGCATTGAGCACAATCACACTGCTAGTGAGAGCCCAGGCCTCGACGATAGAGCACAGCTTCCAAGGCCCTACAAGCCCCAGGGAGAGCCTGTCTCCTCTCAGATCCACGGGGTCCCTGACCCCTGGCCCAGGGCATAGCCTGCTGGGAGGCCACCCAGCTTGGACCTTCACCTTGGGTCTGCTGCTCACAATTGCCAAATTCTATTGATTGTGACCTCCGCTGCCCTAGAGCAGGTCCTCCTCACCTGTACTATTGCAGCAACCCCTCACTGGTTTCCCAATCAAGGTGACAGCCTGGCATGATGGAAGAGGCACCGAGTTTGCATCAGATGGACCCAGGTTCTCATCCTGAGCCCGCATCACTCAGCCCTGGCCGGGGATGCAGACAAGGTCCTTCCTGTGCCTGAGCCTCGGCTGCTTTCTGCAAAGTGGGTCAGAGCGTGGACTCTGGAGCCAGTCTGCTGAGTTCACATCCCAACTCCACCACTTCGGTGACCCTCGGCAAGTGGCATCTTCTCTCTCAGATTCGATTTCCGCATCCATGAAATGGGGTTAAGAGGACCCACCTCAGAGGGTTGTGGTGAGGATTAAATAGGTAAATGCATGTAAACTTCCTAGAACGGGGCCTGCCCAGTTGTGAACATTAGTTCTCTCTAAGGGTTGGGTGCCGGGAGAGTCTATGAAATGATGGAGGTCAGGCCCAACATGTCCCAGGAGCTCAGGGTCTATGTGTGTTTGTTTCTCTTCCTGTTCCCATTACACTTCGTTCTGCTTTCAGACAGATGTTTGTGTAAGTGACTGTTTCCACGAGCACTTAGACGGCAAGGTCGGGACCCTCCTCGTTCCCGGAATCATTGCCCACAGCCCCCAGTCTTCTGCTGCTGCCTCAGTAGACATCACTTCATTTGTAAGTGAGTTGCTCATGCACAGAGGCTGGGGTTCAATACTGTGGTCTCTAAAGAGGCACAGGGGCAGTTACCTGGGTCATGCAGGCCAGGGGGACAGGTTGGAGGTACACGTCCTGGCAAACAAGGGCAGGAAGGCTAAGGCCAGCTCAGCTGGGGAAAGGGCAGTGCGGGGGCTGGACACGCAGAGCACAGGTCTGCCACGTGGCCCGGTGGCTCAGAGTCCTCCAGAGCTCCCCCCCCCCCCCCCCCCGCTCCTGCTCTTCTCCCTTGGCAGAAGCAGCTGCCTCTCTTAGAACCTAGTCAGGCCCTACCCTGCCGCACCAGCTCGGGCATCCTCAACGCTCATCTTCTGTATTAGCTGCTGTAACAAATTGCCGCAAACTGAGTGGCTTAAAGCAACACACATTTATTCCCTTTCGTTTCTGGAGACCGGAAAGTCTAAAATGGGTCTGCAGGGCTGGTTCCTTCTGGAGGCTCTAGGGGAGAATCCATTTCCTTGCTTTTTCTGGCTTCTAGAGGCTGCCTGCATTCCTTAGCTCGTGGCCCCGTCTTCACATCACTCCAGCATCTGCTTCCATCATCACATCTCCTATTTCCTCCTTTGATCTTCTTGCCCTCTCTCTTATAAAGGCCCTTGTGATGACATTAGGGCCTTCCCAGATAATCCAGGATAATGCCTCCATCGCAAGATCCTTAATGTAATCACATCTGCAAAGTCCCTTTTGCCACGTGAGGTTGCATATTCACAGGTTCTGGGGACTGGGACATGGACATCTTTGGGGGGGCCATTATCCAGCCTACCACACCTCCCCTCTCAGAGCCTCAGTTTCCTCATCTGGGAGATAAAGACTGGGGCTAGCCCTGGGGTGCCCCCTCCCTCACGGGCCCACAGGGACTGGCTATAGGAAAAGGACATGGCAAACTGAAGGTAATTGACAACATAATGTCCTGGATCTTGGGATGCCATCACTTACTGCTCTGTGGCCTCATCACTAAAGTGGGGACAGTAGCAGAACCCTCCTGAGAGGGCAGTGGTGAGGACCACAGAGATATATGTGGAAA